AAAAAAAAAAAAGCTAATTTTTGAATTCTTTCATTCACTCAATTTCCTGATAACTTAACACTTCTTATTCATAAAATCATTTTATGAAATGGAATGTGGAAATCAAATATTATTTTGATAAAAAGTAAGAAAAGAGTAATGCCACTAACCTGAGTTGAAGGCTCCCCTTACTCTTTTCCCATCCCTATTGAATTATCTATTCCCATCACTTCCTTCTAGAAAACTGTAGGCATTGAAAATTAATATTCACATATTTCAATAAACACATATATACTATCATAGGAATGCAAGTTAAGTATCTCGAATGTCGTATTCATTGCTTTGCCTCTGAATTTTACTATGCTTGACCACAGTACCCATTTTGTCGTTAATTTATTCATGAACTTAATTTATATCCAATTATTTATCAATTCTTTTATGGAAATTAAAATCATAAATAAAAATATAGGAATACTTAAAAAACATAATCTTTAAAGCGGTATAAAACTCTTTTACAAAAATTATTGAACACAAGACTTTCCATCACATGGAGCAGTCTGCCTTCCTTTAGTTATAATTCTTTGTTTCTCAAAATCCATTTGTCCTTAAATTTTAATAGTATCCTCCTTCACATCTTGGGCTACTTCCAATACTTTCATGATTTTATGAGCTCATTTTCATACGTCAAATAGCCTAATTGACAGTGCCTAATCTTTTTTGCTAAATTCTATACAAGGGCAACCTACATATAACTTAAAGCTATAACATCCAAATTCTCTTCATTTCATTGCACTAGAACTTTTAACAAAAACCATTCCCAACATCTTTTATACTTCTCTGTTAAATGCATGAATTTTTTGAAATTCATTTACCTATTTAAATAAGTCACATTACAGGGGTGAATTTCAGGATGTCAATTGTTAAATAGACTTAATGCAAATACTTTACCTTCTTTTAAGCATTCTTAACTTACCTGCACCATTAATTTATGCATAAAAATCTTCTAACACTTAATCTAACATATTCCTTTCATATTTAACCAAATACTAATCCATTAAAATATAATCAAATAGTTAAAATCTATTCCAATTTTGGTCCAATTATGCAATCATGACACTTAAACTCATGCCTTAACCATCCTTTAATCACCTTAAAAAGCACCTATAATCACATCTCCACCAAGTCAGCACAATAAGACAAGCAAAATCATAGGTGTCATAGTTCATGAAAATCAAAATAAAAAACCATGGAAAAAGAAATAGGAGGAGAATATAAACTAAACATTTCCTTTAATAATCACTTGAAAATTCCTTTACAAGTTTTCCATGCAATTTTAGCCTTGGTTCCTTTACATAATTAGAAATAATTGATATTTTTTTATATAATTTAGATTAAATTATGAATCTAAATTTGAAATAGATATTCTAAAATTTTGAAATGAATTTAAGGACAAATCTATAATAAAAGAATTTGAGATTTCTCTATTGATAGCATAACTTCTTTCTTTCATAATTGGATTTAAAACATTAAATATAAATCATCAAATTTAAAATTAACTAAATAATTATACTTATAGCAATAAGTTTATGAAGTAAGACATACAAAATTTGTCATTATGTATAATTCTAGTTTTTACTTAACTTTTATTTATCTATCAAGATAAAATTCTTAATTTTAAAATTACCTTTTTTAATTATTAATGTCTAATTTTTTAACTTTTTATTTATTTAAAATGTCAAATCACATTAAGGTCCACACACATATTAAATTTAACTTGCAAATCTTTGCTTTTTTTTACAAATTCTTTTACACTTTTTATAAATAATATGTATATTCATTTACTTATAGAATTCTGATACAAAATTTATTTTAGTTTTAGAATTTTTTAGGTTTAAGTTTTAAAAACTTAATTAGGTAAAAATTAACTATATTGTATAAATTTTCAAAAAACAATAATTTATAAATTGGAATCTAAATTTCTGTTACTTAAATATATTTTTACAAATCTTCTATAAGTGAAAATTTTATAATATTTATGTCCATAATAAATTATATTTGTATTATTAAATTTAAAAAATATATAGATTACTAAATTTCAACTTATAAAAATTGAAAAATTTCAATTCAATAACAATTTTATATATTTTAAATGTTTAATATGTGTTGAAATAATATAACATATGATTAGTTTACATTAATTTAACACCAATATAGCAATAGGGCTTGGGCCCCAATGTTGGCAATGAATTACAACATTGCATTATAAGTTACAACCCAAGTACATAGATTGATCTTTGCCTTGCTCTTGTCAACTTTTGCCTTTTTAGATCTTATGCTCTCTCTCTCTCTATGCAGCCATCGGTTGCTTCTGAGCCAAATGCAATGCCTTTTCTCAATGTTGCCCTCCAATTCAGGCTTTAGTAGATTTTCCAGTGCTGTGCTCATACTCTGTCAAACCTTGGAGGTCAGATGAAATGATTTGCTGTCGAGCCCCATCCTTCTAAAGTTTTTACTTTTTGATTGGCAAAGAACTGGGAAGATCGGTAAGATCTGACTGCACAAAAGAGGCATCATAAACATCACCATCCATCGAGTGACCACATGGAGGAGACTCAAAATCTGATTGTTGATTTATGCATTGACAGATAGGGTGGCAGACCCAATTAAGTGTTTGTGGAAATTGCTTTCTCCACCAAAATAATTTAGTGACATATACTGTACCTGAGTAACTAACACCAGGTAAATTCCAGATTAAGTGAGGAGTCACAAATGGTCTCACTTAAAATCACTTTACTTGGACTAAATTCGTGTGTTGACACAGATTACCTCAGAAATAAATTAACTTAGCAATAACCAAGCTAAAAAATTATTTTGCCAACAATAGTATTAAATTAAAATAAAGACAAAGGCAATAAATTAAGAGAGAACACCAGAACTTTAACGAGAGATTCGGCCAATTTTTTGCTTAATGTCCATCGACACTACACAAATATAATATATAATATCACTAAAGAAAATATACAAATTGGAGAGAGGAAAGAGAAACTTATCTAACTACAGGTTATAGAAGACAAGAATATAGGAACAAGAATGAATTTAAAAACTTTTAAGAAGAGCTTAAGGCTCCTTTATAATAAGCACAAAAGAGTATCCTATATCTAAATCCTGTTTCCAAAGAATAGGTAGGGATTTTATTTTCCACTAAACCAATAATCTCACACTTGGCAGAAAAATCCCACCAAACAAAAAAAATATATTTGCTCTCTCTTAACAAGTTGTAATGTTCTAGAAATGTGCTTGGCAAGTTGCCAATGAATTCATTTTTAACAATTTATTCAAGTCCAAAACAGTGTTTCAACTGAGCTGTCACCACTTTGGTCATCATATCAGCAGGAATTATTCAATTAGTACTGAATCTTCTGAGGTTGAACCTGATCCTTCCTCTAGAATCATCTCTTGGACAAAATGAAATCAAGGAATGTCGATTATGTTTCTTCCTTTGCATTTGATTTAAACTTGGTTCTTTTTGCCAAGTGATAGCCACTTTGGACTATCGCAATTATTACAAACAAAATGTTGTTTTTGCCTAATTTAACCCCAATTTCACTTCAAGCCCATCCCTTTGAAGCCCAAATTGCTTCCTTCATTAAAAGCCCTCTGTAACTTGCCATATACTTTGAGCTCTGGTTAGTTAAGAACCAAACAAAACTGTTGGACTGAAAAACAACTTAAAAACTGTGTTGGCTTTTGCAAGGAGTAAAAACACCATTAACAATGTAGATCCGTCGTTAATCCAACCTAT